GCTGGTGTCTGTACTCTCCTTGGGATCCTCATGAGATTCCTCGGGTCCGCGAGTCACAAGAATTCTGAAATGCTGCTGCCCTGCATTTTGGTCTTGCCTGATCTTAAACGTGCAGCCCTGACCCTGTGGCGTCCTTTCCACGGAATTCGTCCTGTGGATTTCGGGAGCCACCCTGCGGCCCCGGGGCGGCGTCTCCGGGTGTCCCAAGTGGCCCCGATCTTCCATGGGGCTGTTGTGCTCTGCTCGGGGCTGTGTGGGGTACGAGGTGCTCCTCTCAAGCCGGATACGGGGGTACCGCACCAACCTGTCCCCCTTCGTGCCCGTGAACCCAAAGTTCAAGTCACCACCCATGCCCGGCGCGCCTGGTGGCGGCTGCTGCAGCTGGAAGACAAAGCACCGCTTCCCAGAACTTCCAGAAGCATCTGGTACGTGCTGCAGGGACCAGCGCCTGGGCTCTGGAGTTGAAGAGCTGCACAGTCCATCGGCCCCGAAGGGCGGCGTCAGCCTCACCTGGCGCATGTCGGCGCTGGAGGCTCGGTGCTGGATCCGGAGCCCGCCACCCTTGGGTCCCCGAGGTTCGACCTCCTCTCGGCCATCCGCAGGGACAGGACTCCGTGCTAGGTGGCCACACATGCCATTCACGTGGGGGCCTATACCCCTGGTGGCCCTGGGTGGAGAGTTCTCCGGGCTCTGGGACTTGGGGGGCTCCGAACAGCGGCCCAGAGACACGGACCCTGCGTCGCAGTCTAGACCCTCGGGTGGCCCGCACGTGTCCGGGGCCCCGTCGGCCGCTTTGCGCTGCAGCGAGATCTGCATGGACGAGCTGCGCGTGGGCCGCGCGTCCATGGGGCTCAGGAGCTGCGGGATGAACATGGACGTGCTGCGCTTGAGCGCGCCCACGGCTTCCTGCAGGCCTCCGTCCTCCGCGCGGTGGGCGCAGGGGTGAGGTCCACTCCTGCGCGGCAGGGTGTGGAATGCCATGAAAAAGTCGTCTTCTCTCTCCTGGTCGAGGATCTCTGATTCAGGGGCCGTGTTGCTGCGACTGGAGCCAAAATGAAACCGAAGCCGATGGGCCATGGTGCCCAGGGGGGCCGGGAGGGAGAGGACGAGCGGCCACAACACGCCCGGCACTGCCAGAAGTCAAAAACCGAAGACACAAACTCCAAGAAAAAGCGTCCCATCTGCCAAACCTTTAGCACTGCGGCACCGAGAGCGACAGATAGCAGAAATAACCCAAGTGGCAAGCAGCATTCCAGGCATGATTGGATAAGAGCAAAAAGCTCTCATCCACACTGTGACAGAGGGTAGGATGTCCAGAACCACATGACCGCCGTCTCCCCCTCCAATGCCAGCCTGTGGACTTAGTGGAGTTTTCTCCCTCTCGCTCTCTCGCTCTCTCTCTCTCTTTTTTTAAACAGCAAGAGCCTGAAACACCACCTTCCCAGCTGCTGCTTTTTTCCATCAGACAGGAGTGGCCCCAGCAGGGAGCTCTCACAGCTGACTGGGGCAGCAGACACACTCCGAGCCACGCGGCTATAAATCTACCCGCATCACACTCACAGGACAGTTCTTTCCGAACGCAGCAGGCACTGGGCGCTCTAACCACGCGAGACCTGGCATTGAAAACCCCAGCACACACGGCACTTCCCCACCTCCCCGCAGGCCCGAATGACGACCAACAAAAATGCTTTGGCTCTAGGAAAACCCTTTCACAAGCCTCGGAGGTTACGTTCCTGTTATTTATGATATCACCACACTACCCGCATGGAATGCAAACTAATAAAAGGTACTATAAATACAGTTACACACCCCACAGAATTAGTGTCCCTTTAATGCGAAATAATTAGACCGTGATCTACAAGTCACAAAATAGCTAAGGGCAAGGGGCACAAATATTCACACCGACAGTTAGTGGTCCGCCTCCTGTTACCATAACCCTTTTCAGTTAGAAGGGAGGGTGTGTGTGTGTGTGTGTGTAACTCACACAATATGCTGTCAGAGAGGGAAGTACCAGAGAAAAGGGACCCAGCTGGAGAAAACATTTCTCTCATATGCCAGATAAGGGGGAAAAACAATTACCCGCCCCCCTCAACAAAAGGAAGGAAAATTGAAGAAGGGAGAACATGTGCTTTTCGTAGTAAGTTAACTTAAATACCATACAGAAAAAAAGCTGCCCAGAGCCATTTTTTTCTATTGAGAAGGCAGCAATATTAACATGGTTGGGATACTAGCATGGAATCTTGCTATTTCTGCAAAGGGCCGAAAAGGAGCTAAAAAAGAAAACTGAAGGTCCACATTAAAAAAACTGTCATCAGATTTGTAAACTTGGATATATTCTGGGTGTTTTAAATGAACTATTTTCCAAGATCCAGAAACATTGGTTATTTAACAAAGAGGTTTATTTAGGAAGGAGTATAAAAAAAACAGGAGGGGAAAATACTAAGCTGCAAAAATTGAAAAAAAGTTTATTTTAAAATCCACAAAGCATGACTTTGTCAACAGCCCTGGAGATGAGGGTATGAGGGATTAAACCTGTGTTTACATACATGCAAACCTGTTTTCTAAAGGCATGTGTTTTAAACGCTAGAAATGATCTCTATGAGAGAAACGGAAGCTAGTTTGTTTAGTGCTAAAACTGCCAAGTTCTGCCCTAGCTGGTTTGGCTCAGTGGCTAGAGCGTCAGCCTGTGGAATGAAGGGTCCTGGGTTTGATTCCGGTCAAGGGCACATGGTTGTGGGCTTGATTCCCCAGTGTGGGGCATGCAGGAGGCAGCCGGTTGATGATTCTCTCTCATCACTGATGTTTCTCTCTCTCCATCTCCCTTCCTCTCTGAAATCAATAAAAATCTAAAACAAACAAACAATCATAAAAAAAACTGCCAAGTACCACCATAGTCATGTATTATTCTCTTAGCTGGATTAATAGCCAAAGAGAAAAACACCAGCAGTGACAACAACACTACAGATGGCCTGGGGCAAAATTAGGTATTAATATAATTAAATAGTTTTTCAGATAAAGTTTGTATTCACACATGATTTCTTAGAGCTCTGCATTCAAAGCCCTTAATGGTTTGGAAGTATATTTGGGCCCCATGGCATGGTCATCTCAACAAGTCATTGTGTTAGATAATGGGAATGAGAAACAAATTTGTTAAATTTCTCTTAATAAAGAAAATTAACTCATTAATTAAACACATCTGACAGGCAATTTTTCCTCAAATTTGACCCTGCCTTCACCTTAAAGAAGTGTTACTATACTCAATAAATGAGTATGCATCTGTGACTCCAGGGACAACTGTCATTTTGCTGAGCACTGCCTAACTCACAGTCTTTGCTGGATGAGAGAGGGGGTTCTACGACCTTCACCCTCAGCAGACTCTCCCATTCAATTTAAAAAGAAAATAACTTCAGACACACAGCAAAACTGATTTAGTTATGTAGTACAACTAATTATCACCCAAGGTAAAAAAAGGGCTGAGTTCCATCCAGTAACCTAAATACATTTTTAATAGAAAAGATACCAGGAGGGGAGGCCAGAATATGTTGGTTCTCTAATTTGGAAAATAATAGCAAGTATAGATTAGATACACAACCAAATTCTATAATCAGGGTGAAGAGCCTGGTTATTTGCCATCACTGGCCTGAGACAAGGGGAACAGCAGATTCCACCAGGGCACTGCCGACTGCCGTGTCTAAATCATGCCCGGCCTCTACACTTCACCTCTCTCAACGGCAAGGTCAGGGAGGTAAGCCAGTTGTGTTATAAGGCTTCTCCAGACCAAATATTCTAATCTCAAGCTATTTAAAAATTGATTCAGTTGAATTCTACATCAGGAACACCTCATAAGAACATTCATTTTAACAAGCCCCCCAGTGAAATAAAACAAAACAAAACAAAACACAAAAGTTTCAGGGAAAGTAAATTTAAGTGACAACTGACTACACTGAATTGTATAATACCTCTTCTGAGAGTACCTTAAAAGCTGGCACATAGCCGGGCCGGTGTGGCTCAACGGTTGAGCGTCGACCCATGAACCAGGAGGTTGCGGTTCGATTCCCAGTCAGGGCACATGCCCGGGTTGTGGGCTCAATCCCCAGCAAGGGGTATGCAGGAGGCAGCTGATCAATGATTCTCTCTCATCATTGATGTTTCTATATCTCTCTCCCTCTCCATCTCTGAAATCAATACAAAAATATTTTTTAAAGTGCTGGCACATAACTGAAAGTTCATTTTCATAGCTGGGTCAGTTGACTCACAGGTACTTGATGTTTACATTCTAATTAGGTAACTGGCAAAATGTTTCAAGCCAGATTTGCTTCTGAAATTCCATTTCTAAAATGAGATCTTAATTTTATCACACACACACGTTTATAGATATATACTATAACTGTATCTTACCTATCTATCAATCTCTATATAAAATGTTAGTTTGTTATCAGTCTCATGCCTCAGGCATATCTTTAGTTCTTTAAAGGTACTTTCTACTAATTTCCCTTGAGAAAGTACCACTTTTAAAATACAGCTTAATTTTACCTGCTAAATATAGATTCACTTTTTGCTTTCTACTGTTAATTAGATTTGTGTTTCCCCAAGGAGGGTCACAATAGATTCATGATCGGATAGGTGACAGTAGTGCAGTCTGGCTCATATTTAAAATCCCTGAAAGGGTTATTTATATGAGCGATGGCCTCTTTACAGATGTGCCCATCATTCTGTATTCCCAACAGAGTGTAAGTAAGCATGTGGTGACTTTCATCAGTGTGACTTTCACTAATATTAAGTATGATAAAAATATTTACATATACAAATAAAATTTCTGTCCTAGCCCTATGAAAATATTTGTTAGAATCATGAGTTTGTAAAGGAACAAAAATAAAGCCATGGGTTAGGGGCATATATACTGTCAGAAGTACAACATAAACACAGTTTTTAAAGCAGCTGCTTTAAAAGTAAATTTTTTTAAAAAAATGAAGCAAAAGTAAAAACTGAGACCCACTTACCAATCTGTTCTCATCAAATACTTCAAAGAGGAGTCTGTGATTAGATGGATTTACCTATAGAGACATAAATGGTACTTCAGAATGGGCAGAAACAATTGAAAGGATGAAATAAGCGATAAAGAATGGAATGCTTATAATGTACCCAAATCAAATGTGTAATCTGAACAAGTGTCTTCTGAAAATCCTATATCTACTAAATCAAGTCATCTGTTTATTTCTATATTGTTCTGTGCCCAATACTGAGGTATATTAGGAGAAAATGCTTTTAGCTGCTTTTCTAACATTAGAAAGGATAATTCTGAATAGTTTTAAAGCATTTTTCAAACTCCTCGACTAAAGGTACGCTCATGCTTCTGGACCAGCAATTTTCAGCCTTTTCATCTCATGGCACACATAAACTACTAAAATTCTTTGGCACACCAAAAAAATATATTTTTTGCTGATGTGACCAAAAAAGGGTATAATTTTGATTCATTCACTCCAGACGGCTACTGGGCTGGCTGCTGTCATTTTTTTATTTGACAATCTAAGGGAAAAAAAGTCAGTGCTTCTGACTAAATAGGTATTGCAGGTTTTAAAAATTCTTGCGGCATACTGGTTGAAAATTGCTGCTTTAGACCAAGGCTACATCTTCACAAGGTCTATGCCTGAGGGTAGCTCTTAGGCCTAATCAAAACAACAACAATAATATAATAGCAATAATTAAAATAATGACAAAATAGTAAAAAAAAGCCATTCACTACATAGTGCTTATTTTCCAGGCACGATCTTCTCATTAAATATCAAAAACACATGATCTCCTTTAATACTGACCAAAAACCTATGATGTGTTAACTGTCACCACAATCTTACAAATGAGGTGCTGGGACCATGAGGGTGTAGTAACTTGCCTAGGGGCCCACAGCAACTATGCAAGGCAACCAGAGCCCCACCAGGTCTGGCCTGCTGTCTCCAGAGCCCAGGCTTTAACCCATTAGAGAGACAAAGAGAAAAACGATGTGCTCCCCTTCCAACAAACCCGGGGTCAATGTCAAAGCTACTAGGCTTTCAATGTCTTTTTGCTTCTTTCTGTCTCTCTACCAAAATCTCCCCCAAATGGCAGGAAAAATCATCACTCAGACTCCAGTATCATTTCCTGAGTACCGGCCACATGTGAGACATGGTGGTAGGTGTTCTCATTTATACTATCACTTGTAAATTCTGGAAACAGCCCCCTCGAGTGAGGACTTTCTCTCCTATGTAAGCGACAAGGAACCTACAGAGGAGGTGAGTCCTCAGGTAGCTTTTCCAGGGTCATAAAGGCTGCATATTGTAGAGCCTGAGATGAGACCGTGTCTACTATCATAAGTCTCGGCTACTTCGTGATGGAGAATGGAATGGAATAACATCTGATAAACAGAGCAGAGAGCACGACTTGTACTTGTGGCCCCCTGGCCTGCCTCAGAGGCCTCGTGAGGGAACAAGCAGACAGACGGAGGGTTTAGTGCAGCTGTGGGCAAACTATGGCCCGCGGGCCGGATCTGGCCCGTTTGAAATGAATAAAACTAAAAAAAAAAAAAAAGACCGCACCCTTTTATGTAATGATGTTTACTTTGAATTTATATTAGTTCACACAAACACTCCATCCATGCTTTTGTTCCGGTCCTCCCGTCCAGTTTAAGAACCCATTGTGGCCCTTGAGTCAAAAAGTTTGCCCACCCCTGGTCTAAGCTCTATGAAGGCCTGAGCTGCTGGTCAGGGCACCCACAGGCCATGGCAGGAGCCAACACACAGTAGGCAGGCAATACGATTTGTGAGATGAATAAAACAAAGGTCTTTTTGTAAAAATCCAAGAAAAATAAGAGTTTACATACGTAGCCAAGATTAGTTGAAAAAAATTTTGGAAGTACTAACATTTACATAAATGTGGCCAGGGTGTTAAACTGACAGGGTCTAAGTAATTTGGAGTTTTACAAGTGGAAAGCTTACTAAAGGCCAATAACGTCAATGTGCCCCCATTAGCTTTTCAGTTCTTCATGAAGTAATTTTAAATACATCTGGTCAAGGCTACACATAGGATCTCATCAAGTATTGGGATATCAATGCCATGCCTGGCTGGTGTGGCTCAGTGGTTGAGCATTGACCTATGAACCATTAGGTCAATTCTTGGTCAAGAAACATGCCTGGGTGGTGGGCCCCGGGGTGTGCAGGAGGCAGCCGGTCAATGATTCTCTCTCATCATTGATGTTTCTATCTCTCTCTCCCTCTCCCTTCCTCTCTAAAAGCAATAAAAATATATATATTTTAAAAAAATCAATGCCATATTTCAGCTCTGAATATAATAGAACACATGTATCTAGTGATCTAAGTTTGGAGCCCATAAAATACTATTGTGATTGAAAGAAGAAATTAGGACCAATTACAATGTATCTACTGATTATATTGTTGTTTGGGAACCTACACTAATCAAAATGTCTCATCTAGGACAATTCTGAAGGTAAAGAGTAGTTCTTAATACCACAGCTATACAGACAATGAAAATATATTCATTTTGAAGAGAAAAAAATACATAGCTGAGCGGTTTAATATTTTCAAAATTTCAGTATAAAAAAAAATCAGCAACCACCACAAATAGTATTCTCTGTTAATTCACAGAATCCAGCCATTTCTACATATAACTCTTCTGGGTATCTATAATAATAAAAGCGTAATATACAAATTGATCAAAGAGCAGAATGACGATCCGGACGACCTTCCAGACAACCACTCTATGGCAGGCACTGGTGCCAAGCCAGCCAAGGCGGGTGCAATGTGATTGGTCAGGGGGCCCTGCCATTGCCCCACGATCACCCTGCAGAGGGAGGCCCAGGCCACTGGCCAGTGGGGCGATCTATCAGGGGGGTAGGGGGTCGCGGAGGGGGGCTTCTGAAGAATCAGAGAAACGGGGGAAGGGGGGTGTGGTGGCAGACGCAGGCAGTGCCAGGCGAAGGTTGGTGCACTGGCAGGGAAGGAAGGCATCAGGCCTCTAGTCCTATCTAATAAAAGACAAAAATGGTAATTGGCGTACGACCAATACCCTTTTCATTGGCTAATCAGGGCTATATGTAAATTAACTGCCAACTCAGATGGCAGTTAACTGACAACAAAGATGGCGGTTAATTTGCATATGTAGGCACAATGCAGG